AGCAGCCACCCCACGAGGCACAACAAGATGCCATGCACACAGCTTTCCTGGTGGCACAACAGAAGTGCCCAGGTAAGGAGGGGACCTCAGGGCAGCTCCAGATGCAGAATAATTTGGACAGCTCCTGGAGTATTTTGGCCCATGCAGACACCACCTATCATAGATACCCAACTGTAAGGTGACCTCATGTATAAGTCAGGGACATGTTTGGGACCCAAAATTGTGGATTTTGATATGACTCGTGGCTAAGTTGAGGGTAAAACTTAGGGATATGTGACAAAGGACATAAAGGATGAAGCAAAGGAAAACAGTGCCAAAGAACTACAAAATTTTAGCAGGTATAACTGTTTGTTTAGGTATAACTCTAAAGGTGGATGGATGAAAGAGTAGAGAGGATTCAGTGCTTCCAGCACAGATTTCACTCCCGCCACTCACCAGAGGTTTGTTCTTTTTAAAAAGTTACATACATTGACCCGTGGATAAGTGAACCCAGGATTTTTGGGGTCAATTTTTTTACTAAAATTTCTAGACGAATACATGAGTATAAACAGGATATGTGTTTTATTGTAGTCTCTGCCTTTTTGTAAGCTGCCTTGAGTTGCAGCCTAGGAGAAAGGCTAGACATAAATAAAGAGATGGATGGATAGATGGATTCCATATCAGTGGTGTGGGGCAGTGGATCCACTCCATGTTCCAGTCCAAACTTTAAAAGAACGATCTAAGGTGGGGAGCCATCCTCCCAAGATCATTTAAACATCTTTGATAGCACCTTTAAAATTTGTTCTAAGACCTAGAACCAATTCCACACCCCACCAACATGGCAACCCCCAGCTGCTGGTGCATTGATTTCTCCCCATGAGGAAGAAAAAAATATCTAGCGCATTAAACAAAGGACCTGTCATCAGCGACAAAACCTGAGAGATTGAACTTGTGGTTTTGCCCGTTATGTTTGCATATTCTTTGGGATACATTCCAAACCACAGAAATCAATCAAGATCATAATATTTATGTATTTATGTGTGTGTGTGTTTGGCTTTTTTACATGGATTCCTGTGCGCTTTGCAATGCAGAACAGAAGACTTTACTCTCTAGGTGTACTCTTCTCAAGAGGAAGATAATTCTCTTTCATCCCTGGAGCTTCATACCTTTCCTTCTTCTTATTAATCTTTCACCCTCCCTTCCCTTTCCACCTCCCTTGAGAAAGAAGGCACCAAAGAGAATATATTTTCCATCCTTTACAACTGAAACAGGTAGGAAAGCACAGCGGGGAGTCAAGCCAGGGAAGTCATGCTATGAAATATTTTGGTTCAGCTTTGACTAGAATCCTTCCTTTTAGGTCTAGTTCTGCTTTAGGGCCCCCCCCCCCAAAAAAGAACCCAGTATGCTTTTTTCAGCCCTTGAATTGAACAATTTGGGTGCAGTTTTGCTTTCAGGTGGGGAAAATGCTTATTATTAGCGAAGTGATGAATATTCCTCTACTTATCTCTCTGCAAGGGAAAGTTTCATTTGTGGGTGCAGCAGGCACGGTTCAGACCTCATGTCAGACTGTAGTTTGCAGTAGTGAATGGCCCCCTTCTCCCAATTTTTAGGCTGCAAGAGTAAGAAGGGACATTTTGGACCCAAAGACATAGGACAGGATTCAATTATTTATTGTTTCATTTCATTTGTATGCCGCCTTTCTCCCAGAGTGGGACCCAACATGGTTCCCAAAGAAAGTTGGTTTAAAAAACCTTCACAATACAAAACTAAAAATAATTAAAATCATCACATGAAACATATACAATCATTTAAGAGACACTTAAACATTTGAAAATATAAATACAGGTTGAGTCTCCCTTATCCTGAAGCCTGGAATCCAAAATATTCCAAAATCTTCCACATGGGTGGCTGAGATAGTGACACCTTTGCTTTCTGATTTGTTCAGTGTATGCAAACTTAGGGGGGTTGCAGACTGTCAAAAATAGTGTGAATTCAGTCCACTTTTAGGGTTAGGGTTAAGGTTAGGGAATCATGGGAACTGAATTTTATTGTGGCACTAGAGTTCTCTGACAAAGAAGGTTCAATGTCTCAGAAAAATAACAATTCCCATGATTCCCTAGCACTAACCCTAACCCTAAAAGTGGACTGAATTCACACTATTTTTGACAGTCTGCAACCCCCCTTAGTTTCATGCACAAAATTATTTTAAAATATATTGTATAAAGTAGCTTTCAGGCTATGTGTATAAGGTGTATACAAAACATAAATGAATTTCATGTTTAGACTTGGGTCCCATCTTCAAAGTGTCTCATTGTGCATGTGCAAGTATTTTTTTTTAAAAAAAAGAATCCTCCAAAATCTAAAATATTATTGATCTCAGGAATTTTGAATAAGGGAGACTCAACCTGTGGACGTGCTCCTGGACAGTGCTTATTTAACAGTAAATTTGATATGAGAAGCAAAAATTGCATGGAAAGAGTAAGGTAAGGCTAGGTTGCTGCAGCACAAAGGCTCCATCTACACTGCAGAATTACTGCAGTTTGACACTGCTTAAACTGCCATGGCTCAATGCTATGGAACTTTGGAATTTGTAGTTTTGTGAGATAATTAGCCTTCTCTGTCAGAGAGCTCTGGGGCTACAAGAAACAACCAATCCTAGGATGCTATAGGATGGAGCCATGGCAATTAAAGTGATGTTAAACTGCATTAATTCTACGGTACAGATGCAGCCTATGTTTCTCCAGCCTTCCTCCTCCTTCTTCCCTAGGACAATGCAGCTAAAAACTACAGCTAGACAGAGGACAAGAAAAAAGAGGGGACTGGATGCGTGTAAAAAGACTTTGTAAAAGAGCATCTTTATCAGAGATTCTGTTAACTAAAGTATGCTTGTATTCTTCCCTACCCACAACTCCCAAGAGAATAAAGGAAAACATCTATTTTATGGCTTTCCTTTTTATGTCGGAGCAATGAAATTAAGTGAGTGTTTGTGAAACCAGCTGGCAGAATTAGACCAGGAAGCATTTGTCAAAGTGCTGAGTGGCATTCTAGTGCTAAACGGCCGATAAATCAACGAGAATGGTTTAAAGATGGGCTTCAAGAATTTGATTAGGAGGGCTTTAAACTGAACTGTGTGGGGAAGGG